TGTATCCATCCCCAAACTAATCCCACTGCCCCCCGCTCTCTCCCCCAGAGCCGTGTATGGATCCTGAGACTAATCCGTGTCTCTCTTTCTCCCCAATCGCCCTAACAGCAGGAATATCGGAACAACATCCCCACGTGTAGCCTGCAGCAGCAAAAGCTGCGAGTGTGCGATGTGTGCGGGGCCTACCTGGGGCTACAGGAGAAGGATAAGCGTCTCGCCGACCATTTCAGGGGGCGCCTGCACATGGGCTTTATGGAGATCCGCAGTAAACTCCAGCAGGTCAAGGTGAGGACAACCGGGACGGTTCATCTTCACCCCAGTCCCACTCTTCCCCTCCCCTTCTCCCCCTGACCAACCCCACCACATCCTTCCTGTCCCGGGTAATGTTCCCAATTCACCCCAGTCCCACTGTCCCCCCGCGCCCCCACCTTCTCCCCCTGCCCCCCTCCCCCCAGCCCCACTGCCCCCCCCGCGCCCCCACCTTCTCCCTGTGACCCCCTCACCCTGCCCCCAACGTGCTTCCTGTCCTGGGTAACGCTCCAGCCCCTGCTCTGTTGACGTCCTGTCCTGGCCCCTGTCCCGTCTTTAGCTGCCCAGCACCCCCACCCCCTAAACCCCACCCTCGGACTAACCTGTCAACCCCCTCACTCCCCGACAGAAAACGCTGGCAGAGAAGTTGGGTATGTCGAACAGTGAGTTCTCGCGGCACCGGGATGAGAGACGCTCCGAGCGGAGGCCGAGCGAGAGGAGGCCGGAGGGTCAGAGCAGGCCGAGGTGAGCTGGGGGTCAGGGAGGGGGAGAGAGGGAGAGAGGGGACAGCTCTCCCCGTGGGGACTGACCCCTTGCTGGTGCTGCGGTGGACACTTTGAATCAGGAGCGATGTAAACATGATCATTGAATGTTTTTTCTCTTTCTTTCTCCTTGTTCCAATCTCTCCCTCCATCTCCCTTCCCTCACTCACTCACTCATGTGTCTGTCTTCACCCTCTCCATCTTCCTGTCTCTCTTCCCCCTCTCCCTCTCTCACTCTCTCTTTCTCCACTCTCCCTCTCTCTCCTTCCGTCTGTCCCCTCTCGCCGTCTCCCGCGCGCTCTCGCCGTCTCCCGCGCGCTCTCGC